CTTAATATATTTAAAGAAATCCTTACTATTAATTTTTACATTTTTAGCCAACCATTCTCATATAGTTTTTGATTTCCTAATTTTTCCATTCGACCAACTCTTTTGATCTTCTATGATCCTTCTAATCTCCCATTATTGCAGTCAGTTGAAACTTCTTATATTTAAATGCTTTTCTTTAATTTCTTCCTTTATACCGTTTGTGAGTAACCTGGTTTTTTTACTTGCAGCCACCATTTCCTTTCTATAAGGAGCATGCCAATCTTGAGTCTTTAAAAATTTGTTTTCAAAATTTCCCACATTTTTTAGTATTCCAATTGATTCAGTTGCTGAATTTACAGCAGTTAATTCTTGTTTCATCCTTTCAGAATTTGCTTTTTTGAAAATTTGAACTAAAATCTTGTTATTCCTTATCTTTATATGCAGTAAAACATCAAATATATTTGAGCAATGATTACTTATAACCAAATTTTCCTCAATTTGTTAACATAGATTAAAAAAAAAGTATGTCATATCAGTCAAGTTGAACCTTCCAAGTGTTTTCTATCATGAAAATTTCCAACATTTGCTTAATATAGAATATCACTTAAGTTAACATGCTGATCTTATTCATATGTGTTAAATTCTGTATTAAACTATAGTTACAAATATTCAACACAAATAAACGTCTTTTCCAAATTAATTTTTTAAATTTATAACAGATATTTTTATTTACTGTAAGGTTATACATATATAAATTTGTGTGAAATTACTATAACTTGTTTAGAAAAAAAAACTGCTGACATGCAAATAAATTTGTCCATCTCTACATATGCTCTATATGCAGCAAAACATGAAATATAATTGAGCAATGATCACTTGTAACCAGATTTTCTCATTGAAAACTGATTGAACTGACTGAACTCATTGAACTGATCCCACAAATCCAACCAGCCAACCGAGTTGTCCATATGTATTAACTAAGTCTAGCATTCAGCCCTAGTGCCCTACTTATAATGTCATCCCCACAATTAAGTCTTGGCAGTGTCCCTTCCATGATTAAGTTCCATAATAGTACATTACCTCCACTCATGTGTATAGCTATTTTCATTCAGTGCTACCCTCTATGTCACAAGCCATGAACTCCCATGTACCCCACAATCAACGTGGTTCAACTGTGTCTCACATGTAAATCATCATGCGACAATCCTCCACTAATAGGAGTGTGACACACTCTCCTGACACAAGTAACTCCCTCTATTCGATTCTACGTAACTATCACTTCTCGTTAGGCACTGATTGAGTGCAGACGTTTCTCAATTGCACTTTTTCATGTATTTTTTTCTTCTTTTTTTTTCTGCAAAGTAGTGATTTACTTGATTTCTTCATTCGTTACAGTTAGTTTTCTGTAGTAGTTTGCCACAATAACTTACCTTTGTTTATTGTTTGTTTTTTTCATTTTTCCTCCTCCTAACTATGCCATGCCTCTCCTATGGCATCTACTTGGTCTAACTCTGCCTTTTTGGATATACTTTCTCAGGTGTGTTCCATTTTCTCATTTTCACTGATTTCATATGATACAGTCTGTGTCTATCTGAGGCTGTACAGACCCTTCTATCACAGAGGTCTCTGAAACCTGTCAGGTAGCCTTCTCCAGGTTTTTACTCCAGGCTTTTTGTTGTCCCCACAACAAATCAGGGGGACTGGTGTCCTGTTTTCCATATGTCCTCCCTCAACCAATTTCTGGATCTTCCCTGATCTACCATAGAGTCCTTTATCACACTCAGGTGGGCTTTTTTCTCTAGGATAGTGGATGACCATGTTAGGCTTCTCAAATGCCTATCTCAATTTCCCTATTTCTACTCAGTTCAGATGCTATCTTTGGTTTTTCCACTACGGGGTTGTGTGTCAGTTTCACACCTAGCCATTCCAGCCTGATTCAGCATTGTATGTATTTTATCGGGTGATCAAGGTCTTTGCCTGATGTTTGTATGTTTGAGGGTTGCATTTACACCACTACATTGATGACTGGCTCCTGTTAGCTTATTTTGAACTGGAATGTTCTCAACATACACATATGCTGCTGATAGACGCAGTTCATGTTGGTTGAATTCTCAAGTTGGAGAAGTCTTTCTTTTTGCATAACCATTATTTTATCCACTTGGGTGAATTTTTCAACATCTACCTCATTCAGGCTCAACCTTCTCCACTTTATCTCCATTTGATGGAGCTTTCAGTCCTCCATGCACTTACTGCTCCCTCTGTTTCTGCATGTGAGGTTCTGTCACTTTTGGAGACTTGGGCTTCTCTGAAAGCCCTTATTCCTTTGGGTTGGGCACATATGCATTTTCTTCAGTGGACTCTGCACGGCCAATGGACTTTTGCTCGGGATCCCTTGGACTCCCAAATTACTCCTTCTCCTTCCCTTACAGACAATCTGCATTGGTGGTTCAACAAGGACAACACAATGACAGGAGTACTGCTTCCTCCACCTCATCTGTATTTGCATCTGCTCACAGATGCTTTTATCCATCGTTGGGGAGTGTGGGTAAATCATCAGAAGGCCTCTGGACAATAGTCTCAGATCAAAATGTCTTACCATATCTGCATATAGGAGCTTCTACCAGTACAACATGGTTTGGTTTATTTTCTTCCTATGGTACAGAATCGACACATCATGCTCCATTCCAACATTTCCACCATTGTGACATATATCAGTCATTTAGGGGACACTTGTTTCTGTTCCCTTTGTGGTTGAACATTATATCTCCGAAATTGGGCCCACACATTGTGGATAATTCTCCTTGCGTGTCATGTTCAGGGTGCTTTTCACCTTGTGACATATTGTTTTTCAAGACCCAACCAGGTATTGCCCCTCAGGTTTTCAGGTGGCTATGCAATCTCTGGGATACTCCTCATCTGGATGCTTTTACCCCTTTATTCAAACACCAAGTTACCTCTTTTTTGTCTCTGGTTCCTCATACTCAGGCCCCGACAGTGGATGTTCTCAGGACTGGACCAACCCGGTTCCTTTTGTGTTCCTTCCAGTTTCATAGACCTCCTAGTTGTGTGGTTCTTCCAGATTGTAATGTCAGTATTGTTCTTCACTGTCTTTCACTCCCTCCATTTGAACTTTGTCGTCTTGTTCCAGTTCCTCATCCTTAGGCTCTGGCAGTGGATGTTCTCAGTCAGGACTGAACCAGCCGGTACCTTTCAGACTAATTCTTACTCTTTTTAGTCTGTGGGCATTGTCAGTCTGATATATTTGTCATCAACATTCATTCCACATATGTTCTACTTTATCCAGATTAATCTTTCCTACACAAAACTTGGGCAGCTCGTGAGGGACATTCTTCCTTTTTCCCAAGTTCACTTCCACCCCTTTCCCACTCTTAATCCCGGTCTGATCCGGATGTAATTCTATGTCCAGTACATGCTCTTTGTTCTTACATTTCTTGCACGACCTCCTTTACTGGTTTCCATTCCCACCTTTTCATTCCCTGACACCATTCATCTGTACATGACCTTTCTCCCTCTACCCTTCCCAATTGGGTTCATCAACTTATTCAATTGGTCTATTCCTATCTCTCTCTTTCTTCCCAAATTCTGTTCCACATACAGTCCATTGCACCCTAGCCACTCTACTACACTTTAGAGCACATCTATTTTAGCTTTCCCCACACTCCTATCTGTAGATGGTTCTTTTCCAGTCTTTCTTCTGTGGGAATGAGATTGTGGTATGCTATGGTTCAGATTCCAACCCACCCAGTTTTCTCTCTCTTTTTGGTTGTGCTTCTTCCACTTTCCGCCAATGTATGCGATACTTCTTTCCACACTGGTCGCAGAGTATACCTGGTACTGAAGTGGTGCAGTCTTCTATGTATGTTCCTATCCCAATGGGGATCACACTTGAGATGATTTTGAAGAGTACTTCTTTCTATCTATCCCTTGCACCAGTCCCTCTGCCTATTCAGTGTGAGATTCTAGCTATATTGGAAGTTATTATTTTCTTATACTGAAACTATATTTCTGATAGGTACTTACCTTCCCTCACACTTACCACCCTTCCTCCCCACTGGAAACTGGTGCTTTCTTTTCTGCCTAATCTCAAAGTGATAGTTTGGTAGAATCGAATAGAGGGAGCCACATGTGTTAGAAGGTGGAGGTGGAGGGTTGTTGCATGATGAGTTACATGTGAGATGCAGTTCAACCTAATTGATCATGGGGTGTGTGAGAGTTCAGGGCTTATGGCATGCAAATAAAAATTTGCATATAGAGGGCAGCACTTAACAAGAACAACTATATATATATATATATATAAATATAGGAAAATAATAACTTCTGGTCCTTTTCTTTAAATGCCTTTATTAACCACCTTGTACTTATCAGTTAGCTGAATATAGTATTTTTGGAATTAAAGATTTAGAAAAATAAAACTGTAAGTATAAAATATAACTTAGGGGAGAATGAGATATGTGATATTTGAATTTCTGCTATTGTTGTGATTTAAAATAATATTTTATAGAGAACCATATGCTTAATACTGATGCTAAACCTTGAGTATGGCCCTTTTGTTTGAATACCTTTATCAGTGCCTTGTTCTTAGCAGTTAGTATCTCTGATAAACCCTCCATTATATCATTAGCCCTTGTGTGCACAACAAAGACTTCATCACTGCTAGCACCCTTTACTATATCCTCCACACCTGCCCCTGGATAGCATAATCTAATTCTTTTTTCATTATTTATCTCAAAGACTATCCTATCCATGTGCCATACTAAAGAATCACCTATAACAATAACTTTGAAGAGTTTTTCATTCCATTCCTATTTCTCCCTTTTCTTTACATTCCTTCCCCTAGTTACTCATCTGCACAAGATATAGGCTGAAATCTGTTACTTAATAGAACATGTTCATTATAATCAAATCTGCTACTACTAGCTCTATTAGTACTGTTTCAGACTTCCTGAAAGTCATTATTAGTAACTATATCCTTTGCATGCAAAAGCTTAAGTTCCTCTTTAAATCCCACTGCTATTACCTTTGCCCTATTTAAGATAGCTTCCAATTTCTCCTTCAACCTATAAACTCTTCATACAAATGGTATATCTTTACTACTAGTTCCTTAAATATGTTTCCTTCCCCTCTACTTAATATAAAAATATAAAAGTTTCAAACTTTCTTTACATATTGTGTATGTAGTCTTAATATAGAATGTCTTTCAAGGGAGCCACTAAGTTCCTCTTACCCTGGTTACATATTGGACTGAATCATTCAACTAGGGAGTCACATGCCCTTTCTCTTGGACAAGATTTGTGTAAAATGGAGCACATTATATCAAAATAGACAATAATCTTTTTCACTGGCTGGTCAGGTGATACCTCAAGGATACAACATCCCATATTACTGTGGGAATGAGAGTGACCATCATTCACATTGATAACACCTGCATCTTTAGAAGAATTTCATAGTTATTTTATGTATATAATGTCATATATTCTCACTCTGAGACACGATATAGATTACTAAAACTAGCAGATTAATTTGGTTAGATTTATGTGACTTAAATTCGTGGTTTAATTTGAAAGTTTTCCATTAAAGGCACTCATGATATACACTCGTTTTTAAGCTATGATATTTATTTATTTGAAACACAGATAATTTCACTGTGTTCAAGTTGTGTGCAGTCTGTTTCTTCTCTTAAAACTCTGTCAAGGTCAAAAATTAACTCTATAATACATGTTGGTATAGATTAATTAAAATAAAATAAACCTGTATTTAAATTAAAAAGTAAGTAGAGAAACAATATGTTTAAACAACTAAAGGTGAAACTGAATTTTGCCTAAAGTAGCACAGTCATGATCAGAAAGTATTAGGGAACTCAAAAATTGAATACAACACTTCACAGGCAAGCCTTTGTATTTCCAAATCAGAAACAGGAGACATTCGTTCATGGGCAACTTTTGGCTTTACAAGTCAGAAGTGAATCTGTTTGAAAACTCTAACATTGCAGTCAAAAAATTGGATCACAATAATCTGGAAGTATCTGCTCCATATGACAATCATAGGGTAGTCCCATATGCAAAAGGTAAAGTAGGACACAACTATCTCATAAGATAGTAGATAGTTTCCATGATGAGACACTCCCATAGAAAGTAACACATAAGGCTGAACTGGCACACGATCTCAACTGGATTTAGTATGTTCACAATTGGTATCGTTGTAATTTATTTTAATGATTTATGGGGAACCATACAGTACTGATACTAAACTTTGTTGGTTCCATCCCTTTCTTGCAATTGTCTTCCTTATATTTTGAGATAAATGGATCTGATGACTTTATCCAGAACGTTAGATACTTGGGATACACTGTTTCAGTTAAGATTCAGTTAAAGCAACTTTTAATTAGAAATGCATTACAAATATATATTCTTACTTAGTGTAAAAAGCTGCAACAAGCAGCTGTAGATATAGAGATCTTTGTTGGCTATTTCACCAGTAAATTCAAATGCCGAAGAAGGAAAATTCCATATCAACACTTATGCAATTTATCAGCCTGTCATTTTGTACTTTGAGCAACAATGAAAGTTTTAATGGTTGGAAGAGAATACAAATAGGTGGATCACAGCATTTATGTAACATTAAGTTATCTGAAAATTTAACTATTAAATATAAAAGCCTTTCATTAGTTTTAATGTTTACCAACACCTTATGAGATGCTGGTATTTTTTATTCATGGAACTACTAAATAAAAAGTTACCCATATTTGTAGAAATTATTACTTTCATACTTAAAAATAAATTAATGTAATAATTAATACAGCAAAACAATTAAATCAAAATTTTGAATTAACCTTAGTGTGAAAGAAATTCACTTGGAAAAATGTTTAAATAAATCTTTTTATTTGAAGTTTTTTAGACTATTCACCCAAATAGGTATTTTCATAATGACTTAAATGCTGATTTCAACAGTTGACTTTTGAAAATACTGTTATACTTGGCCATATTTCCTCTGAAAGCATGAAAGAAATTTCATAATTTTAAGTTATTAGAACTGATTCATACATTTGTGAATAAGAATAATTAGATAAAAAGATATATTGGGAAGTTATTGAGTGTGTGTGTGTGTGTGTTTATATATACACATTGAATTTTTTTATTTTTTGTTAACCCCATGAGATGTATTGTTAGATAAAGGTTTATATTCAAATGTTTTCAGTGATATTACTTATAATATTAAATACTTTAATGAAATTATATTGTATACAAAAATTAAAAATTTTGGCTGTAGCATTTATAATGAATGATGTTATAAGCACTTACATTCATTAATTTATTATATATATATTATTTTGAGTAAGTGAATATCAAACAAGCAGTCCACAGGTTTTCTAACTGCTGTGATGTAAATGATTTAATATTTAATTTTCCATTCTACTAACATTTTCTTTACTAATGTTTTAGAGCATGACTCTTCTGTTCAGCATCCAACTGTCACAAAAGGAGGAACAACTTTCCATGTAGATTTATCTTTCCCTACTAATCCTGTATATTCTTATAAAATAAAACAATCTCCCTTCTCTCCTTCTTCCCCTATCCCAACCACCTCCTGCCATGTTGAGCAGGAATTATCGCCTGCTGCTGACTACCCTGTGTACCTTGTTCCAGAAATGCGAGTATTTGTTGGTATTTCATCTAAAAAATCATCTGATATGAACAAATATACATTTGAAGATAAAAAACATGTTACAAGAATGGAAGAAAACATTTCTTCAGAATCTGCATACGAGTTTGATCCCAAAAATACAAATAAGCAATTTACCAAAATATGTTCTTCACCTTTCCATAACATATACACTGAAGCCCAAAGAATTGATTACACTTGTGAAGATAGTGTTTCAAAAAGATGTGACACTGATGTCTTCACTGGAAATGAGGAATATGTTTCGTCAAAAGTGGCACAAGAAGAGTCTTTAAATATGCATTTACCTGAAAGCTCAAAGGCCCCTGAAAAAGATATTTCATATCAGGAAACTCTTAATGTATATGAAAACACAGCCTTTGCCGGGGTTGATGTTATTGATAAATCTGCAGTAGAAGAAGAAAACTTTGAAAGAGGTACTAGTTCCTATGAAATTTTAAGGGAAACTAATAAAGAATTACCAACACTCAACCCAGCTACAAATGCTGTAGGAGCAATGAAAGTTGACCAAGAAATATATTCTCACTTTTTAGAACAGTCCCTTCATTTACCAATAAATGAGGGCCTACTGTTTTCTAAAGTTACCCCAGAAACTACAACATATGTTGAACATCACATCAAGTCACAAATATTTAGTGAAGAACTTGACCAGTCAATAGAAGAAAATACTCCTGAAAAAAAAGATATCTTAGAAGGAAAAAACATAAAACCAACAAAAGTAGAAAGAGTTGACATAGTTACTAAGCAAATTCGTTCTGCAATCTTAGCTCATGAGCTTTCTGAGGACACAGAAAATGACTTACCAGAAGAAAAAGATATTCCCTATGACCAAAGAAAAGAAAAAAAATTATCTCATGAATTATATGATGACACAGAAAGTGACATACCAGAAGAAAAAGCCTTTCCTTTTGACCAGGGAAAAGATAAAATCTCTGAAAGATATAAAGCTGAAGGTTATGAAGATAAAATTGAGAGAGAAGATAAAGTTGCTTTGAACGAAGCCATTAATATTTTAAAACCTGATTCTGAAACATCATTAAATTACAAAGGAAAAACTGAAGAACTGGAAAAGGAATTTGCTAAAGAAATAATTGGCTTTTCAAGAACATCAGATGAGGAACAAGAAACACAGTGTAGTTCTGTGGAATATGCCATGTTGGAGACTCCAATACAACAAAATTCAGAACAGATCTATGAAAAAGTGAAAGAGCTCAGAGAAAAGCAAATAATAATAGAACACAATGAAAAAAAAACTTTAGAAGAAAGCATAAGTGAGAATGAACAAATATGGCAGGATGATAAATTAAAAAAGAAATTCAGTGAAGATTATGTTAGTGAAGGAATTTCTCCTTCTATAAAAGAAGAAGCAGTCGTAGCTGCTAAGCGCATTATTGAAGATATCAAAACAGAGGTGAATCTCTGTCAGTCATTAGAACATTCTCTTTCTGAGATCTCTGATGAAGATCTTACGGAAAATCTAGAAGAATATATTCCAATTCAGCAAGTAGAAGGAAGAGATAAATCAGAAGAAAAAAAAGTCTCATTTTCTGAGGATATGCCTGAAATACTTCAAAATACAATTTCAGAAAATGAGCAGTCCTATAGAGAAAATGAGGAAGAAACTGTTAAGATAAAGGAAGAACTGATATTAGGCAGTAAAACAAATGATGATGGTTATAATGATATTCATTTTGCAGAAACAACTTGTCATGAACAACAAATAAGTGAACATCATAAAAAATTAACAGCTAATGCTAACAGTGAAACTAAAGAAGAAAGTGTGCATATTTCTGGAGAACATAAGGACAAATCATTCCCAGTTTTATCAACAGATACTGCAAGCATAAAAATTAATGAAATTCTAATACAGAAAGACAATATAGAAGATCATACATCTTTATCTGTGGTAAATGAAGAAACAAAAGATGATCAAATTCTAGTCTCATACAATGAGCAAGTATGTTTTACTGAATCAAATTTTTCAGAAAAAGCTGTTATTAATATGTGTAAAAAAAAATATTTACTCAATGACATGTGTGAAAGCAAGAGAAATACAGATTCCTATGATATTGATATGACCTTTAGTGATGAAACACAAGCAGCTGAAAAAGAAACTGAAACCACTGAATGCCTTGGGGATTTTCTTCCTGAAACTTTACAACAAATTCACGAAACCTCTGATAGTGCTGAAAAAGAAACAATTAAGTTATCAGGATCATCAGTGATTACCACACAGAGTTTTGTCAAAGATATCCCGCATCAAAAAGCAACAATCATTCATAAGATCTCAAAGGATATTCACAAATATTGTGAAGAAGTTATTACAAGTGATAAAAAACAAAAGTTTCAATGTTCAGATGAAAGTAGTGATCTTCAGGAAGATACATTAACAAAAGGTCAAACATGTTTTGAAATTACTGTTAAATCTGATGAAGAAAAGACAAGCGAATCTGATAAATCAGAGAAATTAAGTTCTGGTTGTGGTGTACAAGTAGCTTCATCTGATCCTTCAAGTGCATCAAGAAAAGAAAAGCATCTGGACAAAAACTGTGAGACTTATTCGAGCTCTGGTGAAACTGAAAGTCATTATTACACATTTGACATGTCTGATAGTGGAAAGACAACTCAGAGTACACCAGCGACAAGTCGACCTTGTTCTTCAGAATTTGATGTAAATATTTATGTTGTACCCATATCTTCAGAGTATGAGACTTGTGCCACTTCACAAGAAGTTTCTGCCTCATATGCTACAGCTTATACCTCACAAGAAACATCTTTTGCCACTGCTCATTCATCTCGTAGTCAAAGCTCCCTTGAATCTACTCACTCAGTAGATTCTGAAAGTTCAGGACATTTAGCCAGTGTGGAAATGTCCTCGGAGGCAAGTGAAACTCTTGTTCCATCAGCACAAGAGCTAGAACAAGAATTTCAAAGAGGTACAGAAACACCAACTTTAGAAGATGAAGAAATGATCAGTGCATTCACTCCCATGGAACCCTATGACTCAGAAATACCTGAGACAATAATTCGAAGAGGTGTGGAGACTCCTTTTCTAAAAGAATGGAAGCAGTCATGTGATTCCTCATATTCTAATATGTTTGGTGACAAGTCACAAATTTCTGAAATGGAAGAAGTCCCATCAAGTCCTTTTGAAATCATTACTGAAGAAGAGTTAGCAGATTATCCAGTAGATTATTTAGCACTTGTCTTGCAGACTGATCAGTTTCACAATAACAAAGAAGGAATTACCTGCTCCACTCAAGCTGCAAAAAGCAAATTTAAAGAACATTTCCAAGAAGAAGAAGTAACAAAAACAAGGGAAACTAACTTAGAAAGTAGCGGCTCTGAGCTATCTGCAACTTTTGTGATGGAAAGTGATACAATTCAAAATACTACAACTAAATATGATGAGAAAACTTCAACCTTTAGTAGTAATATTACAGATGAATGTTATTGCTCAGAAAAAAGTGCATGGAAAGCTAAAATATGTAAACATGAATCAGAGGTTGCTGCATCAGTGGAGATCTTACTGCCCATTTGAGTTGTGAGCAAGAAGCAGAAAGTTCTGCCACTCTTAGTGAGCAAACATGGTTTTCTTCAAGTGCTCAAACTGCCATTCAGGCTTCAGAACAGCAAACTAGGCCTTTTGCTGAAAATGATTTTAGCCAAGACCAACAAGTAAGTTGTACAGTACTACGTAATTTCACTGAAAAACAGTCTTCAACATTTGATTCTTGTGATGAAGTATTTGAACAACAACCAGACATTTCTCCCCATTCAGAAGGAACATTGTTTTATCCTAAAGGTACTGGTCCTGTTGAAGTGAGTTATATTCCAGAATATGATGCTATAGGTGAAGAGACAATACAACCAGAAAGTACTGTGAGGCCCTCTTTTACAGAAGAAATCTCAACAATACCACTAGTAACAGATGAAAGCATCATCAGTGACATGCAAGAACCATCAGTAAAAACAAGCACCACTGTCACAACAAGCAATATGCTTCTTTCTGCTGGAGATGGAGTGCATGTAGCTTCTTCACAAACTTTCCAACCACAAACTAAAACAGCTTATGTAGTAACTCAGGAATTACAACAGAAAACATTACCTTTAGAACACACAGTCTCAGAGTCTGAATCTTCTAAGAGAGATGTACATTATATTCAAGAAATTCAGACATCTCAGGAGATCCAAAAATTGCAAGAATTTCAAGAACAAGAGTATGTTCCAGAGTCTGAAGTATGTGAGGAAGAAGAAACGAGAGTAAAACTACACAAATTTCAATATGATAATCAGCTTGAAATAAACAATAGAAATAAAAAGCTAGATTCGGAATTCTCAGAAGCATTGTATCTGTCAGATAAAGAAGATGACATATTAGAAGATCACATAGACTCAGAAATAAAGACTGTTCTTAATGGTTTATCACAATTTGAGCAAAAAATAGACTTGGAAAAGATGGAACTCCTAGTGTCACCTGAACCGCTTGACTCTGCATCTTTGGGAGAAGATATTAGATACCTCCCAGAGAGTGACCAAAATTCAATATATCTTCAGCAAAACATCACATCAAATGTTCCTACTACACAGAATGATAGCATTGGATATACTTCTGTTTTCTCAACCTCAAACTTTTCAGTTATTGAAAGCAAGGCAGAATCAACCCTTACAAATCAACAACAAATCATGCCTTGTGAGAGCTGTTTCAGTCAATTTCAAACAAGCTCTTGCACCAGTGAACCATTTGAAATGATAGATGAAAAAGATACCTCTATTATTAAACCTAAGAAAAATTTTTATGGTACAATTACTGAAAAGGATATTAAAACAGTTTCTTCTATAGAGAAACCCTTCTTTAATGAAATACACCAAGGAGAAACTATGGAAATAGCTCAGAAAGCTTATGGACAGCAGTCAGTAATAGAATTGAGTAAAAGCATTGATGATGAATTCTCGATTCAGGGTGACCAAAGTGATGAATCAATTTCATCTTTACAAGAGTTTGAGAAACTGGAGTTAGCTATTTCAAAACAGCAAAAACCTTGTCCAGAATCCATTGATTCACTACTTTGTAAAACAATTCTAAATTCAATAGAAGTAAATGACATCCCCAGTTTTCAAACTGAATGTGAACAACCAGAAAAAGAATGTGCAGAGGCTGAGTATTCAATTGTCAAAGAAGGCTCTTTAAAGTTTTCAGATGATGGATTTGACAGTCAAGAGAGAGTAGAATATGCAGATTCAAGTGATTCAGAGGAATATGAAAAAAGAATAAGTGATATTGCTAACATCATTTGGCAAGCTCAGACAAATATAGAACAAGTTTATTCTGATCATGACCAATCACTTTCAGAACCTTCTGGTTTTGATTTCAGGATGCTTCATTATAATAAGACAGGGTCAAGTGCAAGTACTGAAAGTAGCCTTATGGAGAGAACACCATCTCGAAAAGGTGATAATGATGCTGATTCTTTAGATGGAAATGAGCGATATAATGGGCAGTTAGCCTTCAAAGTTGGCACAACAGGAATAATGAAACAAGCTCTTGCACATGAAAAAGTAGCTCATTCAGTTGTTTTACCTCATGACATTGTAGATGGGATAACTGTAAATAATAACTCAGCTGAAAAATGTATTTCCCATCTACAGACTTTACCCTATACTTCAAGTCATTGTGATTCAGATTCCTTTAAAGAAATTGAGGCAGATCTGGAAAAAGTAAAACTTGGTAATGATCATAAACCTTATATTTTCATAGGTCAAGGAAATGAAAAACATGTAGATCTAGATGAAGATAAAGATTCTTTGAATGATGAATCTGATTATTCCATACAAGAAGATTCACTTCATGAAAAAATGGATGTTCATGCTGAAGAAGATTCCTTACATGATGATAATTCTGCAGATGTGGACTCATTAGCTGAAGAAAATGCTGATAAAGACTCACTGCTAGAAGAAAAAGATGTGGACCAAGACTCTCTCCATGAAGAAATGGAACTACCAGATGATTATGAAGATATTTTGATAGATACTAATAAAAGTTCCAAAGAAATAGACAATAAAATTTCTTGGTCTCAGAAACATCCATCTGAAGAGGAGTATGACAAAGACTCTTTGAAAGATGAGTTTATCATTGGACAAGACATAAACTCAAATGGTAAAGATATTCAGGGTATTAGAGACTGTATGATATCAAGTACGGATTCCCTTGAACCTAGCAACTACTATGCTACTCATGCCAATTACGAGTGTAAAACTAAATCAGCAATGTCTTCTTCAAATGTGAATAAGTTTCTTTTTTCAGGAGAGGAATCAACAATGTTAAATAGAAGTGATAGTTCAGTGCCAGAAGTGGCTCTTTCTTACTTAGTAGGAAACATACCTGGAATCACAAAGACTTGTCAACTTTCAAATAAAGAGCAGGTAGAAATTTTTCACAAAGAAGACCAATTCCAAATAGTCTCTCAGAGCTTGTCACAACCCGTTCAGTTAATTAGTTGCTTTAGTGAAGAAAATGATGAGCATTGCATGGATCTTGACACACCACAAACACTTAAAACAAATGCTGATTTTTTCAGTACTGGCAAACTGTTAGAAACCAAAGAAGAAATTGAAACTGTAGATGAAAAGGGAAATTCATTAGTAATTTGTGGTGTTAAAAGAAATCTTCAGTATGAGCCACAGAAAATTAGCATAGAACAAGAAGATAATGTTGAAGAAAGGTTCAAAAGTTTCCTAAAAAAACAAACTCTTAAAGTAGAGGAAGAAAACAAAAGAATTGAAGAGAATCAGATAGTGGATGAAAAAGAAAATGTAATGATTACAAGGATAAGGAAAACACATTTGAAATCTAAGCCTCAAATTCATAAAAAGATTTGTGAAAGCTCAAATGCTGAAGAGAAGACTAAAGAGTTTTTCGAAAATTTTGACTCATTGCAGCATGCTACTGAAGATGAAAATTACAGTGAAAAAATTGATGAAGAAGGAAATGTGGTATGTGCAACACAGAAATTTGTAAAACCAGATATTCATACAATTACTTTATCAGATCTAGATGCTCATAAACAAATGGAAGATTTCACAAAAACATGGAGTGAAAGCCATGATGATGAACTGATGACAAAAATTTCACATGGTGAGAGACTTCAGATTCATACACGTGTTATAGCTCATGATTCATCTGGTGATGATGTTTGCTCAACAGAAATGGAATCCTACCCAACCCAACCTTCACAGTCAACCCCTACTTTATCTAACATTCAATCCACCTTCCCTCTTTACAATGTGCTTGAACTTGGTGACTCATCTTTCCAGTATGTTCAGGAATGGACATCAGGTACTAATTAACTGAATTTTAACTCCTCATTAAGTCTTTAATTCTATTTTCTTATAGTGTATGAAATTATAAAAAACAAGCAAATGCTTGAATAATATAACATTATATTTGTAATATTAATTAACTTAGGAGAACGATAACTTCCTATCTTGTAAAACTCATACTTTATTATACTGAGGACTAGTTGCACTTATCCAGAACGATGTTCAAGATCCCATGCTGCTTTTAAAAGTACTTAATCCATCTTTGATCATGTTTAGTGTGATGGCCTGGATTATGTACTTTGCCTGACACCACAATTTCTACAAAAGACAATGAGTGTTATCTTTTAAAACCTCATTTAAGCAGTTCAGAAGCACAAAAATTCATTGAAGATGCTTCTGAATGCTATTGTTCATGTAGATTTACCAAGGGGGTTTCCTCTGATTCCAGTTTATTCAGCTGTCTTTCTCATGAAAACAGCTGTTATTTCAAGGTGTGGCTGATGATTGTGAATTTTTGCACTAACACATGAAAATCACTCTTATGAAGGGAAATTAATCCTCTTTATTGACAAAAGTTTTATGTATGGACAGTCTGCTGTTGAAATGAGTAAATGACAAGGATGTATGTTGTCACCACTTACCTGTTTGAACAGCAAGTTCTTTATATGAAACAAAGTTTTGCCAGTGAGTTATTACCATCTAGCTATGTCTTTTAAATGGCTCACTGTATTTCTTAGACGTTTTCTTATCAGAACTTATTGAAAAATCTTATTACTTTCTGTATTAGTCCAGAAAAATATCAATTCATTGGTTTAATCTCTAAAATATGCTATTAAGAAGGCTATAAATTGATACTATACAATGACTAAGCAAAAAGCTAATACTTCTTTTGACTTTTTTGAAAATTCAAGTATCCCATAGATACAAAACATTATTACATAAACGTTTTCAAAAGGTGGACATATTTTCAGTGGATGTGCACTACTGGACTCTTAATTCACATACCAAATTTCAGGGAAATCCATTAAGAAATACCTGAGATATAACATCTCCAATTTTGATTGAGTTTCTTCCTTTTTTTTTTCTTCTTCACACCAAAAGTACGTAAACTTTATTTGATAGAAAAACATACTTAAGTTTCATGGATTTTTTTTTCAAATTTTATAGACTAATAGACCTTTTCAAACTACAATTAGGTGTCTCATTTGGTGTAAATATATGTCACATATGCAAAGATATTCAACAAAAATTGCTCTTTTGTGCACAAGCCCCCCAGTGGCACAGCGGTATATCTGCAAACTTACAATGCTAGAAACTGGGTTTCGATACCCATGGTGGGAAGATCACAGATAGCCCATTGTGTAGCTTTGTGCTTAATTCCAAACAAACAATATGTGCACACTTACGCAAAAAAAGTCATGTGAGCTATCGATCTAACATTTTACTACAGCTTCACCTATGAGGAAAAGTGGACTGTTTTTAGTTTTTGTCATTTGAATTAAAGACGGATGATTTAGAATAGCAAAACTATAAGGTGAAAGGACGTGCAAATACATAAGTATTGGTTAGGCAAAGAAAACTATATTAGCAGTTTCTAGCTCAAGTTTTCAAAGGAATCATATGTATGGATGGTTGTTATTGATTATTCATTGCCAGCTTATCAACACAAATTTACTAAATGTTATGAAATTATCTTAATTAAAGAGCGTTTAGCATCACGTGAAGCTTAAGCAATTATCATAAATAATGATGCTTGATACGAGTGTACCGATTGCATGGGGATGATGATTTAAATTCCATGGCATTACTATAAAGGAAGCTATTAACTCTGTTTTAGAGATGAAAAACTACCACCATATATTTTATAGAATCTGATTGGTTCTGTAAAGTAAAGGTCTGTTCCGAATAATAGGGTTGTGATCTTAAAGCTAATGTAGCTTACTGTCGAGTGTCGCTTTCTTACTTGCTGCGGTTTGTTGGTGTATATTGACAAAATGTCGTGTTATTTAATCAAAAACACCTTAGGTGTGAAAACAAAGGTGTGGCCAAAAAAAGGATAGACCATGGTACTTAAAGAAATGAAATCAGAATTGGTGGCCAAACTGGTAGCTACACTTATAGAATTTTTTTCACACCTAAGCTATTTTTGATTAGATAAAACTAAAGGACACTGGCTACCCTGTTTCTCATTTCTATTCCTTTCTCTTGTTTGTAGAAATTATCTCCAAATATGAATAAAACTGTTTACAAAATAAAGTTTATCATAGTATGAATTATAATATTCAGATTGACATTTGCCAAGTTAATGATTTCTCCTGGTGATACTGTTACTACCCTTCAATCAGGGTAACAATATCTAAAGTAAACAAAATCAAGTTCTTGATCAAACTAGAAATTTGGATTTCTTGTATTTCTTTTAATTGCTTGTAGTTGTAACATATGAGTAGATATGCACACAAGCAGGCACTACTTTTAACGTTTTCAGAAATTTTGGGCTATTAATTATTTAGCTTGTTATCTAGCAATTTTCAAATATTTTTAAAACTCATAACATAAATTTTAATTAACTTGAAATTTTGTTAATAGAAATAGTTCTTAATAAGTGAAAACTAAGACTCGATGGGATTCAAGCCCATAACCTTATTATCTGGCATATGCCTTTCTTAAGTTTTCTAAAATCAAAAAAAGTAAAAAACATGCATTTTTTTTTTCAACCATAAAATGGAAATAAATGAATTTTGAGCTTTTTAAACAACCTTAAAGACATAGCAGCTTAGTTGGTTAAAATATCTGCCTTCTTATCAGAGTGGCTAGTTTGAATCCTTCTTGGACTTATTATTTCAAAAATAGTTCTATTTTCAATGTGCCATTGTTCAAATGGAGTGAACCAGAGGTATTGCTAGGCAGTGGCACGTGGTGTCTTTGCCCCGATTCTATTTGACAGTGCACTGAGTTCCCAGTTGGTGTCTTGAAAAATCAGAATAGAAAACAATGATCAATATCATACTGAAACACCAAACATTTCTGTGCCTATGGGCCCAAACCCTGAAACTTTTAAGTACCTAGTGATGTATCTGGAGGGAACTTATCCATTGCAGTAAAACTACAAAGAACTTATGTTTTTTTTAAACAAACTACAGTAGTTATTGTTGCTGCAGTAGCATTTACAAAATAACTTAATAAATACTATAGCTTGCTTTCATCTACTACTGTATTTACTTGAAAACTGTAGTAAAACTGCAGAGTTGTCAGTTATATTTGCACTACTACATTATTGTTGCAACAATCATTGCAGTTAGTAAAGCATCAACTCTTGTTGTTTCTAAATCATAAATTTCTGCAATCTTATTTAAAGTTATACATTACTGCAGTTTCACAAAGCTAACTGCACTTGAGAATTAATCACTCTCAAAAATCACTCATGTATTCCATTTCAGTTAATCTTGTAAACAATTGTGCATCTGACATCAAGTCTATTGATAGTTTTATATATATTATTAAAATTTTTTTCTCTATCTTTATTTCTTTTATGTTTATTTTTAACTCATTTTTTGCTTTCTGAAAGGAATGCATTCTAATATATTATGATACTTACATTGTAGATAAATATCTAAATTCTATGTGCCCCCCCCCCTGTGGCACAGCAGTATGTCTGCGGACTTACAATGCTAGAAATCGGGTTTTGATACCTGTGGTGGGCAGAACACAGATAGCCCATTGTGTAGCTTTGTGTTTAACTTCAAACAAACAAAAGTTATGTAGCAGTAGAACATTTGAAATCCAATTATTGATGGTGTTTATGGTAATTATTTATTTGATAGAATTTATTTGAACATTCATCTTCAAGCCAAAGAGTTCTGGTTTGAAAATCACTTCAAATATAATGATATAAAGTTTAACAGCTATCAATGAAAAATTCTGAAACTAGGAGACGTTTTTTTTCTTTGTGTATTTTAAATTTAAGAATTTATAATATTCAAGGTTTACTTTTACAGAAGGAGAACAAGAAAGGCAACAAGATATTAAACATGACAGTAGTGGTGGTCTCTGGACTGCACAAAGCACCACAGGGACCAGGTAAGCATTTTAATGTTAATGGAATGAAATGTTTTTCTAAAACACAAACTAACATAATAAAGAGTGAATCATAATTTGTACAACATTTTGCATCATGAAAACAGGAAAGTACATAAAGGATGAAAATGTCTTGGAATTAAACACTGTTATACACTATTTGACCACCAGAGGGTTGTTAAAGTGTAAGGAGTTTAGATGCATACATTTCCTCAGTACTCACAGTGGAAGGATACATGATAAGCATAGCAGAGTTCATACTTATAGAGCACACTGAGCTAATTTGCTGTGTGGCAAAAATGGATGTAACAGTGCTGTTACAACTACTGCTTTTGCTAACCCAGTAAAAATCCTTACAATAGCACAATTTCAGCTACTGGTATTCAGATAAGTGAAATAATTCCTTGTTACTGGACGTTATTGAATAACCAAGAATAATCTTCTGATAGCCAATTATTACATCAGAGAGTAAATTCGATGACAAGGAACCCACTTTGAGACTAATAATGGCTGGAGACGGCTTGAATGGGTAATGAAGAAAAACTTTAATATAAGTTTTTCTTCATTACCCATTCAAGCTGTCTCCAGCCATTATTATACATCAGAGAGTACTTCTGTCATTGACATTTTTTCCTTTGCATTATTATCTAAATGCTTCGACTCTGTTGTATATGCAGGATTCTTATAGGAACTTGAAGACATTTTTAAAAGGACTTAAACCTGAAACATGTTTAATAAATATTTTGTATTTTAAATAAAAGTCCAGAAGTATAGCTTTTCAATGTACCTCTGGACTTTTATGTTGAATAAATTCCCATGTTGTTTGTACAATGAAACCATTTGGTGATGCTAGGCTTAAATGACTGTCAGACTCATTTAAAGGAATTATAACCAACCTGTTAGGGAGTCAGTATTGTAATTGAAACTTTGCATGCATTGTTAGTTACACTTATAAGATCATTAATAGAGTATGTCAATGACAGCTTGTCTCTCTTTTGTCTTCTGTTTTTTTGTTAGAAGTTAATTTTTCAACTATTAAAACTATCAGTTTGATAGACTGTAAAAGTCCAGAGAGATATGTCCCTAAACATGCAATATGCTACATAATAGCTCTCATTGACAACAGAAAAAATAATAAAATGATGAGATTTTCAATAAAACTTTTTTGAAAATTGATTTTTCATGTTTAAGATTTTGCTCTTGATGTTTTGTATAATTACATGTAAGTGTGTCCTAGTCTGAAAGTATTACATGTAGTTAATCTTACAGGTATAAATGTAGGTATGTGTAAAACCTAATTTAGCAAAGAGTGGACTGTTTTGATTTGTTTTCCAATGATATTAGGTTTAGGCTTATTTTGCTATTATTGTAATATTTATTCATTGATTTTATGTTTTTGTAATTTTGACTAACACTGTTTTTTTTCCTATACATGAAGCAGTTTAGACCTATACACATGCTACATAACCTTTATTTATCTGGGCAGTTTTAGATAGTGGTCATAAAAAATAAATGTATCAGTCTAGAATTAAATTCTTAAGTCTTGGATGTAGTTGATGCAATTTTTATATATGCATTTGTATTTATTTTTATGTATTCATTTAAAAAGGGTGATGGTGTCTACTTTTCCAGTTAATTCAACCACACTTGGTTTCTATTTGTGCTGTATTTTATGATATAAAATTTGTGAGTTTCTATTTAATGACTATCCAAGGATTGTAGTTTTGAGTTGCATAAACTGAGCTGGGTTATCTGTAAGGAATGTTATCCAGAGGGACTTTGTATGATGTTAATGTGTGGTTTGTCAATATAACTCGGCTGATAAAAGATAATATAGCTTAATACTGCAGTTTCCAAAAGCTTTTATTTTCAGTATTTTCTTACTGCAACTATATCTGTCCTCATGTATTTAGTTAGTCTTTATATACTCATAATGCCTGTTCTTATGTATTCAGTTAATCTTTATGTATTGATATGGGAGTGACATGCAGCCTTAAATTTTAATACTTGGGGTCAGCTATTTTGTTTAAATGTATGTGTGTGTATATATACATATATACACCCATAAATACATCAATATGAAACTGTAATGAGTTACATTACCAATATATAGTTCTGTTCCAATTTAAAAAACTGTTGGTTTTATGGGTTTTGACACTTTAATATAATGAAATGTCTAATCAGACATTATCAGACACACAGCAGCACTGCCTATGAAGGGATGGCTTGGATTATTCATTGAAATAGTATTTTTTTAATATCTCCTCAATAGGTCATCAGAACTTTACAATACTATACAGTGTTTCCTTTTATAACAATATCTATATAATGACTGAGTCATAAGTTCTGGGAATGCCTGTAAATATCATAGCAAAAAAAGTTTGAATTTCGTGTTCTTCTTTCTTCTGCTTCATTCTTATTGCATTATAACTGACAAACCAAAACAATGGTGTCAGCCTCTTTCACTGAGGTGACATAGTTTCAAACTGAGTATCTGCTTTTATAAGTATTATTAACTAGTAGTACTTTTTAAAAAATCATAATTCTAGTGTAAACGATGTTATCATTACCCCTTGAAGTTAGCTTTCTTACATACATTTGGTGTTCCTTTAAAAAACCTTTAAAGGGTGAAACAGGAATCACCAGCCAATAATAGATAAACAATAAATATTACAGTTGGAACCAAATTGTATTTAGAACTTGGTGAGAAATACAACCTTCCTATGTCTATTGAAAGACTGCATTAAAAAACGATAAATTAAGTAAAGAAAAAACCTCTCAAAAAAGGAAGTAAATATAGAGATGGCTAATATCAATACTTAAAACAAAAAATGAAACAAGAACGTGGTGTAACTGTGCTTATTATGTTGGAAGATGTAAATGCCATCCCTACTATCTTGTTTGCTTTGTTTTTGAAGGATTGATATTAACCATTCCTATTTTACTTGCTTTTTGAGAAGTTTTTTCCTGTACTTGTTAATAATATGTTTACCCCTGACTTTAATGTTTTTTTTAACTTTTCAAATATAATATACTTGTCATACAGTGATATCTGCTGTTGATATTCCTTTCTAACCTTTCAGTCTTTATTTTCATGTTTATGTGATTTTTTCTGCAAATGAGGTTTTTAAATCCTCTTGCTATTTACCTTTTGTATTAGTCATGTTAACTGTGTTTCATGAATTCAATACTTTGTCATCATCATCAACATGTGTTTTTACAGATGTTCGTCCTTGATGAAATATAAGTAAACTTAGAATAATGTCAAATTTTAGGACTTTAAAATCTTTTTATTTCAAAAATTTATTTTAGACAATAACATGTTTTTTCAGGTCTCTAACCACACACATGATCACCACTACAGAAGCTAATTGCCAGCAGTACACTGTGACTGACACTTCTTTACAACATGGTGATAGGGATGAACAGGAATATAATAATTCTACACAGGAGATTCTAAACCAGTTTATGACTGATGATGGCAATCAATAGAATTTGATCCAGTCAAACCATAACTTCTTGTAAATGCTATATTGTTAACTCATCAGTAAATTTCTATCCTCATTCTGTTGAGTGCTTTTTTCTTTTAATTGTTGAATTTAAAATGTTTTATTTGAAGTTGCACTTTTATAAAACCCTTCTGTACAATATAAAACAATTATTGCCTTTGCTAAAATGTGCAATTAGTGTGAATAAAGTAGTAGTCATTGGTACATTAACATTACAGCTTTGCTATGGCATACCAGTATACATGTTATCACTTTTCTCTGTTTGCATCATTAGCTTACTTTGGATAAAAGACTGTAGAAAAAAAAAGAAGAAATAAAAATCATGTATTAAAGCATTTTCTCACATTTCATATTTTGTTTCTTTTAATAGATATTGTAATACTGTTTATCATTCACATGTGTTGTTGTCATTATATTGAAAACATGGTGTTGATAATTTATAAATGAAGCTTCTTTATCCGGTTGTTCTAAAACAAAACTGATAATGGTATTTAAATATCTTTTCACATGCATAGAATTTTTATATTTTGTTGGTCATGGCTACAATAATTAAAAAAATAATAATAATTATTTACTTTGTTTAACTTATTAGAAAAAATAAAATCCCAGGAATTTCAAGTTATTGTTTTTTATGTATGTAAACATTATTCAAAAGAAAGTGTTAATTAGTAATTGTATTGCTTCAAAACATTATTATAAAACTATGTGATATGAAGATATATGAGAATGATGAGAATAAAAACGTAATTCTAATATTTTCATAGGATATTTGTTATTGGTATGATAAGTTTTTTGATCAGATACAGTGTATTGTAAAGTTATATCTTACATAAGGAAATCTGTATCTATTTCTGACTTGTATACTAGTTCTTAATGTAGTTTTAATTATGTAGAAACTGTCAGATTATAAGTAAATTTCTAAAAAAATTAAACTATAAATTTTTCCACAGTTAATAATGATTTTTTTCTAAACATTATTTTGTGCAAACGCTCCATTTACATCTTCCTGTAAGGTATTCAAAATTATACACCTTGAAACTGAGAAAACATTTTGACCCACCTTACCTCTTTCTCTTTTTAATGAATTCCATTGTAAGCTGCTAAAAATATATTTCTGCACCATTATTCATGTTAGGAGCTACTTCTAAAATAATTGTATATATATATCTTTCTTGTAGGATGATAAAAATAAAATTATATGTTACCATTAATATAATAAAATTAGTATTTTTTTTCTTTTTCAGGTGTTAAAAATGATAAAATTAACTATCCATTTCTTGTTGATAGGTTCCCAATAAAGGTAAAATTTTTTAGACTATGAAATAACATTTTATATTCATCAGAGTTTTTGCTCAGTTTATTATTTTATCATCTGGATTCTGTTCTACTCTATCAACTTTTGGAAGATTTATGAAAGTTGTAACCATATCAGCATTATAGATATTTTAACCTACTTAATGGGATCATAACCTATATGACAAATTTCGTTAATAGTTTGGTATATTATTAAATATAAATCTTGCACTAAATCAAAATAAATGTTAACTGCTTTACTACTGAATTTTTACATGAGTCATTTAGACAGATTGAGCAAATGTTAAAGCTGTACAGGACCATCAGACACCAAAAAGTTTGTGAACTCACTGGCTTTCCAGGTTTTTTCAATCACCAGTGAACCAGTTTTCTGATATTCTTTAACTCATTATAATACTTGAGAAAGAATTCAAGTTCTGATAGACAGAAGAATGTGAAAGATATCAACCATTCTCTAGGAACCCTAACTATATCACCGCTGTTAGCTTACGTGGAAACTGAAGATCCATTAATCCCCAAAAGATACAAATGAACATGAACAATTCAATGTGTGGAGGAGAGCGACCATTTTCATAATTGTCTGGCATGGTCTGGCGGTTAGGAAACTTGACTCACAATAATTGGGTCATGAGTTTGAATTTCATCACCGAACATGCTCTCCCTGTCAGCGTTGGAGGCATTATAATATGATGTCAATCACATTTTTCATTGGTAAAGATTAAGGATTATCACTTCTAAGTTAGGGTCAACTATTGCAGATAGACAACGAATAGCTTTGCACAAAATTCCAAAAAGCACTTTCATAATTTGATATAATTTGAACAGACACACTTTAACCTAATAAAAAAAATCTTGATGTTTATTTTCGTTTTTAATGTATGTGTGCATGGGCGTCTGCAAAAATTTTTTCCAGGGAGAGGCAAAGTAGTGTGAAATTCCGAATGGAATAAAAAAATCATATGTACATGCTGAATGAATAAAGAAAGAATTATGTTTCTCATTTGGGGGGGGGGGGGGGGGAGGTGCGAATAAC